AGAGAGAGAGAGAGAGAGAGAGAGAGAGAGAATGGCGACAAAGAGGGATAGAAATCGTTTCGAGATGACGCGATTTAATTTCGATTAGCTTCGACCTCGGTGAATCTTTACGACGCCACAGCATGTCAACGTACGCACGGAAAAATACTCGACTATTAAAGATAGAAAGAGAAGAAATACGAAGTTCGTTAAGTTGCGCTTAAAAAAAATATCGAGAGAAAACACTAGAAACTGCACATTACTATCGGATTGAAAGATAAAAAGCACGCAGCGTATATAAATATATAATATAAAAAATTCAATCGTATCGAGATTTAATCTTTTACTATGGGAATTAGGCGAGTCGTGAAATCCTCTTGTCGCGATTTCTCATCGAGACGGCCAAGTTCAAGACGTCTTTTTTTTCTCGAGTATTGAAGATTCGATTAGAAAAGGATCGATCGATTTGTCGATAGCGTTTTATAACATGGAACTCGAATTTCTAAACGTATGTTAAACATCGTCCGTCTTAAAAATCATCACAGAAGATTATACGTATACAATTTAATTTAGAATAAGAACAAAATAATGAAATTTAATAAAATTTTGAAAATTTTGATCGTCGCGTTAAACAACTAAATTATCCTACGTGAATAAAATTTGAATGAATACTAGATATTCGTTTGCGCGGAGAATAGTTCGTTTTCGATTAAACAAGAATTTCTGATTGCACGATGACTCGGTCGTTTCCGGTATATCGCGTTTTAATGGATCCTCCCTGGGTAACCGATTCGATGACGAACTCGTTGTAATGGCGAATTATCGCCACAATTGATAACAATTTGATTCCCTGTGTCCTCTATATTAGCACAAGGGCCAGTGAACCAGCTCTACAATGACGTTGAACCAACGACAAAGCATGCCAATTTTCCATCAACGATTTTCTTTTCGAAGTATCGACGTTGTTTTAACACTTGAAATCATATATGAATGTTGCTACGAAAAGATCTATTTTTCGGGAGACGTAATTCGAGCGTATGATCGAATATACGTTGAACGCGATTAGTGCTCGATCGATAAGAAGTTAATCACGTTACTGAAACGGCATATAATTTTATTACGGATAAAAAACTGAAGCGAATTCGTTGGCTGAATTCTTCCTGATCGTCCATCGGATTTACGAAACGTAGACAATCTACCAGAACGGAAACGAGTCTTATCGGTTTCCTCGAGGCGTTGATATTTGCGCGTTAATTTTATGTCGTTAAATATACGTAAAACCGGATACTTGCGAAATATTTAGAAATAAATACGCTTACCATATTGCGGAGAATGTTTCATTGGGAACTTCATTTGATCGAACTGACTTCAGTGATCGTAACGTACGAACCGGAAGTAGGGATAGTTCAAGATGGATCAATAATCACACGTTTTCATGCTATTGTTCGGTGAATGTCACAAATATATATCTTTTATATCTTTTCGTATACTTTATCCACTTTATCCAAATGTATTCTATTTTTCGAATATATTTATTCATTCATTTATTATCGAAAAAA